GGCAACTTGAGACCATTTACTCCTTGTTCTGTCATCTGCTACCACTGAAAACAATCTAGATCCATCCTCTTTGGAACCCCCCTTCAGGTAGTTGAAAGCAGCTATCAAATCCCACCTCATTCTTCTCTTCTGCAGGCTAAACTATCCCAGTTCCCTCAGCCTTTCCTCATAAATCATGTGCTCCAGCCCCCATAATCATTTCCATGCTATCACCCACTCCCTCCACCCCCTCTTCAGGGATTCTCCTCACATGGACCTCGTAAAGCTGGAGGTTCAATCCCTCCTTCCATCTGGAGATGATAGAGCCAGTTCCCCCAGAAATTGTGGGAAGAGGGTTTTATTCCAAATATTTTCTGGTTCCCAAAAGAAATGGTGGCTGGAGGCTAATTCTAAGCCTCAGGAACCTGAACACCTATGTTATTTTGCAGCTCTTCAGGATGGTGACTGACTACCATAATCCCATCCTTAAATCAGGGCAACTGTTTTTTTGCCCTCAGCCTTCAGGATGTGTATTTTCACATCACTGTGTATCCTTCCCACAAACATTTTCTACATTTCATCATTGGCGCAGAACGCTATCGATACCATGTCCTTCCCTTTGGACTCTCCACAGCCTCATGGGTCTTTACAAAGGTTCTTTCAGTAGTTGCAACTCATCTTCCTTATCTGGTCGATTGAGTTTTCAAGGGGCATTCTGCTCTGGAGATCCAATTGGCAACCTGCAAGGCCCTGACCTTGTTTCACTCCCTGGATCTTCGTATCAACCTGAGAAAGTCCACATGAACACCCGTTCATCGGATAGATTTCATTGGAGCTACCTGGGCTCTCGGACTGCCAGAGCCTATCTACTAGAGGACATGTTTTCAGCAATGTCTTGTCTGATCACTAGTCTACAGCAGAGTCCAACAGACAGCAGTAAGGACCTGCCTTCAGCTCCTAGGTCACATGTCAGCCTCACGCGAGATTACATCTGCAATGTCTGCAGGCCTGGCTCAAAACCGTGTACATGCCGAACAGGCACAACCTTGGCAAATGAGTTTCTGTACGTCTCCATTTTCATGCCCACTGCCAACAAGAATCATCATACTGAATGCTTTCTCCTAGTCTGGGGACCTCACCTACAAAGTTACACAGCACAGAGGAATAGGTCCCACAGGATACATTGCTTCACATCAGTGTCTTAGAACTAAGGGCACTTTGTTATGCGTGTCAGCACTTTTCCTACAACATTCAGGGTTCTTGAGTCAGAGTAACAGTAGACAACAGGATGGCGATGCACTGTGTAAATCAATAAGGGGGAGCAAGATCCCAGTCCTTATGCATAGAATCAAAGAGATTTCTGCAGTTTATCTGCCAGGTCTCCAGAACACGATGGCAGATGCAATAAGCAGAAACTTCCATCAGTACCACAAGTGGGAGCTCAGCAACCTAATCTTTCACAACATCTGCGAAACATGGGATCTCCCCACAGTGGATCTTGTTGCAACCCCAACCAATACAAAAAGCCATATTTTCGGTTCCAATGGGGGCTGCGGCTGCATATCTTTGGAAGATACCCTGCTAGTCCCTACCCCACACTCTCTTCTATGCCTGCCCTCCGACACCATTAATCTTCCAGACATTAATCAAACTGAGGCAGATGAGGATCATCTTAATAGTGCTGCCTTGGCCCAGACAAGTGCGGGACTCAGACCTGCTTCACCTTTCTGTAGCTATACATTGATGCCGCCTGCTCAGATCAGACCTCGTGGCACAGAATTCAGGTACATGAGCTACTCCTACATTGTATCTCTGATCCTCAAGACCTGATTCCTTCGTGATTCTCGAATTTAGAATTGGACTGCTCAGCTGAGATCCAGTCTGTACTTCTAAATAGTAAGAAGCCCTCCACACATAAAACTCAGCTGCAGAAGTTGACACACTTCTTTTCCTTGTGTTCCTGTCACTCTGTATGCGCTTCTGAAGCGCCTCTCTGAACTATTCTCGATTATGTATTGGAATTGAAAACATAGGGACTATGTATGAGTTCTGTTAAAGTACTCCTGGCAGCCATGACAGCTGTTCATTAACCTATCCAAAGGCCTTTTGCTCTTTGCTCACCCTACCACAGCCAGATTCCTTTAAGGTTTATATAATTTGTATCCTTGTATCTGGAACCCGACACCTCCTTGGGACCTCAGTTTGGTCCTCAGTGCCTTAAGGAACTCACCTTTCAAGCCTATAGGCCCTATTCTTCCTTCATCTCTCCCTTAAGACCTCATTCCTGGTAGCCATCTCTTGGCCGGAAGAGTGGGAGACCTCTGGGTGCTCGTGGCCAATTCACCACATAGTACCTTGTACCGTGACAAGGTCATGCTATGTCCCCATCCTTAATTTCACCAAAGGTCTCATTGGACTTTCATCTCAATCAGGATATCTATCTGCCTGTATTCTTTCCCAAACTTTATTCCTCAAGAAGAGACGCTGCCACACTTTAGATGTTAGAAATGCACTCACCGTCTATCTGGACAGAACAAGAATCTTTAGGATTTCCCCTAGGCTGTTTGTCCGTTCATTCTTTTAGAGAAGGATACAATCAATTTCCACACAGAGATTATCAAAGTGGGTTTCAGTTTGCATCATAGTCTGCTACGAGGCCAGTGGGGTACAACCTGTCCCCCTCCAGGGTGACAGCCCACTCCACCAGGGCTCAGTCCACTTCTGTAGCCCTTTTCTTCATTGTAGAAATTTGCAAGGTCACAACCTGGTCCTCAGCTTACAAGTTCTTCAAACATTGCGCTATCCTACCCATGTCCAAGATGGACACAAAATTGGTGATGCTGTCTTCCAAACCATCTTGATCTGCCTCTTCAGCACCTCTTCCTCATTGAGTCACTGCTTGGGAGTCACCTCCTGCCCTCCTTCCCCTCCGCTGCAGAGTCTTTTGGCTCAGTAGTTGAGAAGAAACTGGACCAACAGCAGGTCTGCTCCTCCCTATATACCCTCACTCTGGAGCACAAGGTTGTGTAGGGTGCAGGCACAGACCTGCGGGCACAGCGGATTCAAATCTCCAGTTGAGAGTGCATGGGTCCACTCATGTCCTGTGGTGGAGCACCCATGGGGACCAAAACATCTCAAAGAACTCAAGTTACCAAAAAGTAGGTAACGTTTTGGAGAGTTTAGGATGAGAAAGAAGCAAGAGACTTAGGAAGACAGTGGGGAATGTGTTGGGGGATGATAAAAAAATGTGGGCTTTGCAGGAGAGCGGAGAGTTGAATGTTGACAAAAGATTTTGGATACTATTCTGAGAGGGAATGAGGGAAGTCCAGGAAAGGAAATGGATTGGGAGGGGAGGAGAGAGACATTAATAAACAGGGACAAAACAAAAGTGAAAGGGGAGGCAAAATGAATCAAGAAAAGATTCTTGACATGGAGGCAAGAAGGTGGTAGAGAAATCTGGGTGTACTAAAATCAGTAGGAGACACCAAAGGCAAACAGGCTGAACAACATGGACTAGAAGATAAAACAAGATACCCAGTGAAAGAAAGAAAAGGCAGATGTAAAGAAGAACATAAAACAAAGGGAGACAAGAGAAGTATAATTAATTCTTCTAAAAAGGTGCAGAACTGCTATGCTAAACAAACTCCCTTGATTTTATATCCTGCGCCGAAAGTTTTGGTCAATGCCAAATCTGTGTATTAGTATCATGCCAGTAGTGTGCTAGCCTTGTATGTAACATATGCAGGCTTAAGGTCCAATTCTGCAATCCTTTGTTCATAGAGTCTGGGAAGATTGGGCCTTTTTATGGTATTGGAATATATATTTGCAAGGTAGATGTAGGTTACTGGGCAGCCTCTGGGGTCAGGCTATGGGGCAATCGAGGTCCTCATCCACCCCAGTTTAGGAGCCCAAACTGTTCATTGGATCATAGCTGAGACAGAGCTGTTGTGTGAGCCTGTTTGTTCTTACGGCAGATAACCAGAAACCTTTTTCTTCTTTATTTCAGAGTAACCATTACTATGTGAAACCACGGGTGATAGATCACCAGTTTGGGATCAGGCATTATGCTGGAGAGGTAGGTGTGCATGCTGTATTTTGAAACATGCCCAAGAGGAAGGAGTCAGCAGGTAGAAGGATCTAAGCCACTGACATTCATCTAAGAGTCCTGAGTTATGCAAACTGCTGGGAATGGCAGCTCCACTAAGCTTCCTGCTTTGGATAATAGCCCAGAGGAATAGACATGGGGTTGAGTTGGGCCCCCTAGGTGTTACTGTAATACAAATAATAAAATGTCCTGAGTTGTGATCTCTCTGCTTCTGCCTTGCTTTTTGTCCTTGGGCAAGTCATTTCCCTTGTTCTGTTCCTCAGTTTTAGCATCTGTGAAATGGGGAGCATGATCTTGACTCACTCCCTAACTAATTAACTAATATGTGGGAGTGTTTTGAGCATGTATAGAGCTATATTAATGTTAAGTATTATTAATATGAGCTGCAGCTTTATAACTTCCTCCTCATCTGACCTCATTTTCTTCCTGATGATGGATCTTAATTATGGGAAGATGTAGCAGAACTATGCTGCAGTGTGATGCTCCATCCCTGGAACTGAGCTCTCTGCATGCATCCTGCTATAATGAGAGCTCCCCACTGGAGGGAGAGGAAAGGGTGTTGATGGCTCCACTCTAGGGGCAAAAGATATGTGTGTGGGGGGTAAGCTTTCCACTAGGTGGTTCAAGGGTACTGGGGAGGACATGGTTGCTAGATAGTGGGGAAGAGTGTGTTCTGTGCCAAGGATGAGCAGCAGGAATGTCATTGCAGGAGCCACTTTAGACCAGCTCCTACCCAAGACTGAATTTAATGAAGCATCTGGGACCCTCAGTCCCACAGAGGAGACTGAATGTGCTCAACACAAACTGAATCTAATTGCTGGCCAGACACAGAATGAGTTTTGGTTACACAGATGCCCTGTTCAGCTAGAGACTCCGTCTCCACTCACACCTATGAGGTCTGCAGCTACCCCCTTCCCGTGGGCCCAGGAAATCCCATTCCTCTCCTCACTGGCTTCATAGCTACCTCCACCCTAACCTTCCCAGCAAGGCACAAGATCTTATCCTGCCTCATTGCTCTTGATAGGTATGGCATGGCTTATATGATATTACATGGTATCATTTGAATAATAGTCAGTGATCACATATATTGGACTGTGTCACTATAGGGCAGAAGCACAAGATGGCAGAGTTGAAGCTGAATGAGCAATCTTAACTCAGATTTTTCCTCACTTTTGAGTGTTTAACTATGCAACATTTGCACTCTTTAAACTTAATATTTTACCTGAATTTCCCTCCTCCCCCCCACCCAGAAAAGACAAAACAAACGTCACTGTGTGGAAGTATTTGGCTAGGCCCTACTGGATGCTCTGCAGCCTTGCGAGATCCACAGGACTCAGCCCCTCTCTTCCAGACTGGAGACTCTGCACAGCTTTTGCTGTATCCAAACGTGCAGGGACTGAGGCAAGGGCCCCATGGACCTAATACGATGCACAATGAATGTGCACGCTGCTGCACAGATGGGCCTTCCTGGGCTGTACACTTCACCAGCTGAGCATCATGCACTGGGACCTGCATTTGGGGCCAGATTTTAAAAGATGCTCACAACCCTGCTGCTCCCATCAGTACATGTACGGCCAGATTTTCTGCAAACCCAGCTGCTTATTTTGGTGCCTAAGTGGGAGCTGAGCTCTTCTGAACATCTGGTCCCAAATGTGAGCGCTGAGACCTTCTTAAAATTCGGTCCATAGTTACAAATGTTCTATACATGCTTCAAATGCCATTTTCTGTAGGTCATAACTCGATGAAATCCGAACACTCGGGATCATATTTTCACATTCTATCCCAGTCACTGTGGTACTACAGCTATTTGAAAAAGAAACTTACCAGAATATTTTAAAATGGGGAAAATATCTTTGTGCCCTAGTGCAGGGGTTCTCAACCTTTTTCTTTCTGAACCCCCTCTCACCCCCACATGCTATAAAAACTACATGGCCCACCTGTGTCACAACAACTGCTTTTCTGCATATAAAAGCCAGGGCTGGCATTTGGGGGTACCAAGTAGGGCAATTGCCCATGACCCCATGCCACAGGGCCCCCCACAAAGCTACATTGCTCAGGCTTCGGCTTCCGCCCCGGAGGGCGGGGCTTAGGGCCCAGGGCTTCAGCCCAATGCAGTGGGGCTTTGTTTTTCTGCCCTGGGCCCCAGTGAGTCTAATGCTGGCCTTGCTTGGCGGACTCCTTGAAACCTGCTCACAGTCCCCCAGGAGGCCCCGGAGTACTGGTTGAGAACCACTGTTCTAGTACCTTGCTGCTTATTCCTTCAGTGATTAAATCTTCCTCTGTCACTCTGCCACTGTACATTACACAGGCCTCTACTCCTGCCTTCTGAATTAGTTGGCCTTTGCTATTTGATGCTGAGTTGAGTGCTGTGTGTGGTGATGTGACAGCAGAACTATCCTCCGTCTTCCTAGGACATTTCTTTATCTTACAACTGCAGCCTTCTTGGCAGGCCCCAGGAGAAATGTGGGTAAGAGTACCCTCCCCCAGTGGTCCTGCAATGCTAGGAGACCCTTTTTGTGGCCCTAACAATGCGGCCTCATTAATTTGTTTGTAAATTAAAGTGCACTGCGATCTGATATGTGAGGGATCTGTCGGCTCTGCGTTAGTGTGCACAGGTGCTCTGTGTGTGCGTGTGTTGGTTCCCATATGGGAAAGATATTACGTGCCCTGCAAGGTGGCATGTGCCTCTGCGTGTGGAAGGGATTCAGTGCCCTATACATAGGCTGCTGTGTGTGAGGGGGGCAGAAGGGGTTGGCCACTGTGTGTGTGTGTGTGTGTGTGTGGTGGTGGTGTGATTGGCAGCTGTGTGTATTGTGAGGAGTGGGGGTCAGCAGTCCTCGATCTGTGTGCGTGAATGGAGAAAGACAAGGGTATGCTCTGCTGACAAAACCACCAGGGTAGACACAGCTCTCTCAACAGAGGCATGCTTCCGGTGACATAGCTAAGGCTGGCTGGGGAGGAGAGGTTCTACGCTGGCAGGTAGACTCCTTCTGTCCGCATATGCGGCGTCTACACTAGGGGTCTACACCAGCACAGCTATGTCAGCATAGGCTCTATAGTGCAGACTTTCTACATTTTGAAGGTTTTCTTTGGAATTTTGAGTGCTAGAAACAACTTTTTTTGTAAATGAAAGCCTGGATTCTGACCTCATGGAGAGACTCCTGGAACCAGGGCTCTAACCATGTGCCTGTAGTGCCTGGGCATGTAGGAGTTTCCTGCTCTGTTGTCTTGTCATTGGCACGCAGTGGGGCTGCGTGCAGGGTGGCCCTGGATGTTGGCATGTGTGGGGGTGGGGGTGTCACTGGCTTGAATTGTTTGCACTATTATGTACTAGTCAGCATGTATTATCTGTGTCACAGGTATTGTATGATGTGAGAGGGTTTCTGGAGAAGAACAGAGACACCTTTCGGGATGACATTTTAAACATGCTGAAGGACAGCAGGTAAGCAGCCCTTAATGCTCTGCAGGGGAGAATGGAGGCCAGGATGAGGAGACTCTGTGGGACTAAATTGAGCAGAATTCACATGATAGGAGGGTCATGGAGAAGAAGAGTTACTTTATATGATTACCCAAGTTCCTATCTCTCTGTATATTGGCAGCAGGAGTGGGGGCTGGAGAAGAAGTCAGGTTTACTGCAAAGAAATTGATACAAAGAAACATGCATTGAGTATCAGCATCGCCTTTGTTATGGGATGGACTTTGCTTATTTCTTTCCAAGAAGATTTTCTGTGCCAGAAAGGTGACACTTGGGAACTCCCAAGGGATCCTTTGACTCAGGGAGCTGCAGTACTTCACAGGCATAGCCATGCATGTACATACCATCCTCACCCTCACACTGCGGAGAGCGGGGAGGAAGAAGGGGCACGAAAGGAGATGCTGAATGAGTAGCCTGAGAGGGGGAGGAGAAGCCAACAGGACAATTTTACAGGAGCCGTAGTGGTGAAATCTATGCAACATTCATTTGCTGTTTGCTTCTGGGGCTTTCAGATTCTTTATGCCACATTTGCTGCTCCAGTGGCCAGCACAGCCCCCAGCATAAGTTAGAGCAGTCTTAAGGTCTGCTCTAGTTTATGGCAGCTTCCCTACGGATGCCAATGGGCTACGCTGCAGCCTACAATACCAAAAATGCAAACCGCTGTGGCCTCTTCCCATTGTGTCCCTGACCAATCCCATGGCGCTTCCCCATGCTGGGGGCTGCATGGGGCGGAGGGTGTAAGGCTAGCGATGGTGGTCCTGTGCCATCACTGTGCTGGGGGAATCCTCCAGGGTGCTGTTATATACCTTTACAGCCCCTTTAAACTGCTAGCAAGGCATAAAGAGCCATACTCAGAATTTTTCTGTCATCTCCCCATTGCCTGTTTTTCTTGAGGTTCTTGGGCTTGGGAATCTGGATCGGAGAGCTCCAAACTGAGGACCTGCAATGGAGGGGGACTGGACTTGAGGACACAGGAGGCCTCAGTCCTATGTTCCTAGGACCTTCAGAGGTCACCTCATTGCCATCTGAGGTTCCTTCCAAGGGCTTTTGGATACAGGGAGCTCTTGCTATGAAATCATCTAGGGGTAAAGGCCCTAGTGCAGGGTCTCAGACACGTGGACCATCAGCAGCTACAGGATCTCACTCCTTTGCTAGAAGGTGGGCTCGGATAGATGATATTACTTTAGGGATGTCACAGGGTGGCTGACCCCTTTAAATGAAGCAGGTCCAGCTCCCCTGTGCCAGTACTGGTGTTCCCTGTTTGGCCAGTTAAGAGGGTGGGGCAGCACCTGGGGCTATCTATGATCAGGGACAATCTGAGAGGGAGAAGTCACAGAAGGCAGCTGTAGGAGGTTCTGGGGGAGAGGCTGAACTGCACGCAGTATTCAAGGTGTGAACATACCATGGATTTATATAGAGGCATTATGATATTTATTGTTTTATTATCTATCCCTTTCCTAATGGTTCCTAACTTTCTGTTAGCTTTTTTGACTGCAGCTACACACTGAGTGGATGTTTTCAGAGAACGATCCACAATGACTCCAAGATCTTTCTTGAGTGGTAACAGCTAATTTAGACCCCATCATTTTTTATTTATAGTTGGGTTTATGTTTTCCAATGTGCATCACTTTGCATTCATCACCATTGAATTTCATCTGCCATTTTGTTGCCTAGTCACCCAGTACTGTGAGATCCCTTTGTAGCTCTTCACAGTCTGCTTTGGGCTTAACTATCTTGAGTAATTTTGTGTCATCTGCAAACTTTGCCACCTCACTCTTTATCCCTTTTTCCAGATAATTTTTGAATATGTTGAACAGCACTGGTCTCAGTACGGATCCCTGGGGGACACCACTATTTACCTCTCTCCATTCTGAAAAATTGGGTGTTTATTCCTACCCTTTTTTTCCTGTCTTTTTAACCAGTTGCTGGTCCATGAGAGGACCTTCCTTGTTATCATATGACTGCTTACTTTGATTAAGAGCCTTTTGTGAGGGATCTTGTCAAAGGCTTTCTGAAAGTCCAAGTACAATGTATCCACTGGATCACCCTTGTCCATGTTATAGACAAACTAAGAAACTTTCAGCCAGATGGAAAAGTAAAAACTGCTAGAAATAACAATAATAATAATTTGGAGATACCAGAGCCAATGAATGCCTCTGCATGAGAAAAGGAAATCAGCAGAAAGATTGGGAACAGACTGCATATATTTCAAGGCTTAGAGCCTTCTAGGGTAACATGCTTTCAATGGTTCATCTCCAAGAGTGGGTATCTGTGAAGGCAATTACATGATGCGTGACTGGAATAGGGTGTGGCTGTGCCATGAGAGAAGGGATGCAGCAATCTGGCTGGAACATGGGCTGCTGTTTGTGCAGTTCCTGCTTGGGGGTCTGTGTAGCAAGAGGGAGATGTGCTGCCTACGCCAGAATGCAGACGCTGTCTGTGTAACATCGTGCTTCGAGGTCGTAAGAGACAGGGAATGCAGCTCTGCAGCTGGAGAATGGGCTGCTGTCAGTGTTGCAGCAGTTTGAGGGTCTGTGCATCTAGAGGGAGGGGATGCCCTGCTCAGCCCTGTGCTGCAGCCACATTGTTCTGTAGTGGTGTTTTGGGAAGGTATAAATAGGATGCCTGGCACAGGAATAGGGTGGTAAATGAGCACACAAGCTCTGATTATTTCATAGCTGACCCTAGGATCTGATGTCCTGTGTTTTCTGTGTCTGACCCTCCTCCTCACTGCCAGGCTGGACTTCATCTATGACCTCTTTGAAAGAGTCTCCAGCCGGAGCAGTGAAGAAACTCTGAAGATGGGAACCCAGAGGCGCAGACCAACCGTCAGCTCCCAGTTCAGGGTAAGGAATTCCCCAAGAAAGTGGGCGACTCTTCAGAGTGAAGAGGAGGAACTGGTGAGGGGCTGGCTGAATAAGAAGTTAAGTGAGGGGTGAAGAAAAGAGACAAGAGAATGAGTGATTCCTTCCATTTCTTTTCCAGCCCTGTAAACGTGCTGGGATGTTGCAGATGGATAAGACAATGTCTCTCTCCCATAGTTTACACTGTAATGTAAAACATGCGGTGAGGTGATAAATTGGGAATGGGGAGAGGATGAGGACTACAACAAGAATATGGCTTTGCTTTATTCAGCAATGTCTTGAGTGTCACAGTTTGTTTTTTCAAGTACCGATCCTGTGGGGGGAAGAAGGGGCGGGAGTTTAAGCTAAGTATTGATACGTCTTGTGGAGGCAATAGTTTCTACATGGGCACATAAGAATGGCCATACTGGGTCAGACCAATGGTCCATCTAGCCCAGTATCCTGTCTTGCAACAGTGGCTGGTGCCAGGTGCTTCAGAGGCAATGAACAGAACAGGGAATCATCAAGTGATCCATCCCATGACCCACTTTACCAGCTTCTGGCAAACAGAGGCTAGGGACACTGCAGAGCATGGTTTTGCATCTCTGCCCATCCTGGTTAATAGCCATTGATGAACCTATCCTCCAGGAACTTATCTAGGTCTTTTTCGAACCCTGTAATAGTCTTGGCCTTCACAACATCCTCTGGTAAAGAGTTCCACGGGTTGACAGTGCAGTGTGTGAAGAAATACTTCCTTTTGTTTGCTTTAAAACTGCTGCCTGTTACTTTCATCGGGTGACCCCTTTTTCTTGTGCCCGCTCCCACATGTATAGGGCTCTGTGTGGCACCCCATGCCAGGGGCTCTGTATGCCTCTTCATTCTCACTTTCTCTGTATACCAGCGTCCCCAACCTCCCCTCCACCACAGGTTCTGTGACCCCTCCCATTGCTCCCTCCCCTCCATGTTAGTGTGTCATAGATTTGGTTGGCTCCCCATCAGACTGCTGTGAAGGGAGTCCAAATCTTGGCTCTCTGGGTGGGTTAAGCTTCCCTGGGTCTCAGCAGGCTGCAGCTCTGTTTCCTCTCTTAGTCTCTCTGGTACATTTCCTGGGCCCTAACTCTGTCTGCTACCCCTTCCTGGACATGGAGCTCTTTAGTCCTCAGGACCAGCTCTAACCCCCAAAATACCCCAGTTGCTTAAACACACCATGTGCCAATATCCCACTAAAATATGTGAGCCTTCTGGTTCATGGTTTATTTCTCTCTAGAGATGTGTAGAACTGTAAAGCATTTAACAAGGGGAGACACTTTGTCCAGAGTCCAACACAATTGCTCTTTTACTCGATCTGTATTTTCTTGTGTTTTATATCATCATTTAGAAAACAATGAATGTCCTAACCACAGTGGTGATTGCTTGCCCACCCTTCCCTTACCAGTCCTTGGGTGGCTATCTGGGCTCAGGGAAGTAGCCCCTTGCCTCATGCAGACCCCTATATGCTGGGTTGCTTCTCCCTCATGCACACTTCCTCCCTGGCTTCTGTGATCTTTCTCTCTTATTTCCAAAGCTTCCTGTTCTGGGGTGGCACTCTCTCCAGTTCCCCGTGTGACTCCTTATTTAATCCTGAGGATGGTCTCCTGTCATTCTTTCTTCTGTGTTTAGTAACTTTTAATTGCTTCATACTTTCCCCCTTCCTTCACAAAAGACATGTTTTTCAGGCTGGTAAGACTTGGGGGATAAACAGGCAATAGGCATTCATGGTACAGCAGTTTCCATAGTAACAGTTCATAATAACTTTGCAGTAGCAACCAGAATTCATAAGTTGTATAGCCAGAGCCCCGATATCATCACACAGGGTCCTCCATTCTCTTCCCCCACCATGCCAGGGACTCTGCATATCCCATTTTCCCCCTTCCTCCCCATACCAAGTTCTCCCATCCCTTCCAGCAGGAGCTCTGTATGTGCCCCTATTCTGCCTTCCTCCCCATGTCAGGGTCCTGTGTGCCCCCCATTTCCTCTCATGGGGGGAGGGATAGCTCAGTGGTTTGAGCATTGGCCTGTTAAACCCAGGGTTGTGAGTTCAATCCTTGAGGGGGTCACTTAGAGGGATCTGGGGCAAAATCAGTACCTTGGTCCTGCTAGTGAAGGCAGGGGGCTAGACTCGATGACCTTTCAGGGTCCCTTCTAGTTCTATGAGATAGGCATATCTCCATATATTTATTTATTTATTCAAATCTCGCACAAAAAAGGACCGAGAGGCGAGATTAAAAGTCCTTCTTATGAAGGCAGCTTTGGGACTTGCTTCAGAACCGAGTTGCTCAGACTCGGCACTGAGTACCTCGGTGATGGTGCAGAGTGCTCCTCCCACCGTATGAGAGTCTTGGCATCATTCCCCATCCCTGGTGCCGAAGAAGAAGCACAAGAGGCAGCTAGACGAGAGGGGTCAATTCCTGGCGCCAAAGTCGGCCAGGCCTGGGGACAGGGATAAAGTGAGACCTGTATCAGGCCACTCTTCTACTTTGGCACCGCAACAGCTGGTACCAGTGACTCAGGAGCCTACACAGGTCCTGCTAACTCCTGCCCCGTGGTACTGTCCTCAGGCAGGCAGCCTGTTACCAGTATGTTTACAGTGCTGTCAACTCTGGAGGCATTTGCAGCAGTCAGGGACCTGCTCTCGTTGCTGCTGTCTACATCTCCAGCGGTGCAGGAATTGGTGCTACTGGTATCATCGGCCAGGGAACCATCTTCTCCCAGCCTCTGCCTGGAATCATGATCGTGATACCATCCAGGGGAAAACCCTCCATGCTAGCCTCGGCGCAGGCTTCACTATCACTGCACTGATCTCCGGCACTGATGGGGTCCACACCTCCCTAGTCGCCTCGCCAGGACTCTGTCTTCGGAATCAGAAGTAGGGTCATACTCTGTTTGCAGCCACCTGTGCTACTCCCCGAGGCACTCCTACCTCACCAAACCAAACACAAGCGTATCACGGAGTGCTTGCCCTCTGGTCCTTAGAGGCTGGTGCCATTGCAATGGCCCTCTGGAACCTGTGGGGTTTCCCCCCAGCCCAGCGTCCCCTCTCAAGGCACTCCTATTTGGTGGCCTCCAAGAGTGGAGCACCACCAGTGGCTCGATGGGAGACTCCTGATCCAGACTCCGGTACCGAGCATCAAGAGGAGGGCCCATGGGTTTCGGCTGATACGGAAGGAGGGGTGGAGGGCCCACAGTTGATGCTGGCTTCCTCCTCCCCAGAGGAGATGGTATTGGCAGCTGGCATGTCTCCTTCCTAAGATGACCACAAGGCTCTCCAGGACTTGTTAAAGAAGGTGATGTGACAGTGTACCCCATAAGGCTTTATGGGGAGGGGGTGCTTATAAATGTACGTATGACATAACTGGAATATGTTTTGTGCTGCCTGTGCCATGTAATATATCTCCATAAAGGTTATGGTCTACTATATCTATTCATCCTATTTGTACATATATATCATTTTCTACTCGAGGTTAAGAATATGGGCTGTATGCTTGCTTGATTTCTAAGTAAGCTTTGTGAGGCATTTGGTCAGCTTCTTTAGGAAGGAATTCGCCA